TTATGTTTGATAGGTAAGAAGTAAAGTTTTACAGTGCAACGAATGTCAATTTCTGACAGGTAGCAAAAGACTGAGTTTGGCACTGTCATAGTTAACTCATACCTTTTCAGATGGCTGAAAGTACTGTGGCAATCCATTGGCAATACAGGAAGAATGACACTGTATTTGGGTCTCTGAGCCTACAGCAATAGCAGCAATAGTAACAGATAATGATGACTACCACGACCTAAACATTCTTTCTTTTTTTTTTGGAGAGGTTTTTGCTATAGGGCGTGTGCACTCACCAGAAAAACAGCGAGTACGTGTGTGTCCAGAACCCTTCTTGGGAGTCCAGTGACATAGCCATTACATCAACTGCTGATCCCACACCTAAACAATCTAAAATGAGAAAATGCAGCTTGTGCGTAACTCTTGGTGTTCTTAAAGTTCTTATCAACAATGGCCTTGGGACCAGCAGTTAATATAATGGCCATGTCGCTGGACTCCCATGTAGTCAACTCCGGTTTGAGTCCCGGACCCAGCAGCTTAAACTCATGCTGGGCACATGTCCGTACCCAAGATCCCAAGAGGAGAATGGAGGAGAAGGGATTGCGGTGTGGCCATCCCCCCTGGGGGTTGATTTCTTGCTTTATGTCTCTCAGTCTTTCTCTGTCTTTCTGGTAAGCGCACGTGACCTATAGCAAAAACCTCTCCAAAAAAGAAAAACAAACAAACAAAATGTCCTTTAAGGCACAGTGGTAATGCAAGTGCCTTACCATGCTGGAAGCCACGTGACCAACTATGTGTTCAAATTCCCAGGTTGAGTTGAAATATTTAGGGCACAGGTTTGTATGGGAGCCAGAGGGCTGGGGAGAAGGGATCATGGCATGAGGAGATCTTGTCATGAGTTCTCTCTCTCTCTCTCTCTCGTGCTCATGTGTTCTCTATCATTAAAAGAAAAAAAAAATTAAAAAGGCAGGCTGGCTCCATGTCTTCATGGTTAAGGTAACAGGACTCCACATGGCTGAGCATGCAGCTCAAGTCCTGAACCCAGTGGCCTGAGGAACACGCTGTGCACATGTGTGTGCATATCCAAAATCCTTAAAGGAGGGAGAGATGGAGGAGAAAGGAATGCTGAGTGACCATTCCCCATTGAGGGCAGATGCTTGCTCCTCTCCCTCTTTCTCTTTCTCTCTCTCCAAGGAGTGTACATAGCCTTTGGGAAAATTAAGAGGTTCATCAATTTATTTCTTACAAATACATACATACATACACACACATACACTCACACACACATATATACACACACACACACACATATTCATATAAAATGTGCATTTTTGTCCCAAAAAAGGTTCTCAAACCAGGTGCTAAGTGAGTAAAACATTTTCCCATGCTATCTCCTTAGGTATAATTCCACACCACACGAACTATCAGTGCTGCCAGAGAAGGGCAGCAGAGGCTGGTCTCCGAGAGGCTCGGTTCTCTGAACTTGGGCATTTGGGACAGAGCAAAGCCTATAGCCCTGGTGGTTCACCAGCCTCTGAGAGAACTGCATCTATAACCACAGCCTCATGAGCACAATCTATAGCTCCCATCACGTCCTGTAGTTAATTCGTTTATCATTAACACTAATCTCACTGTAATTACTTGTGTAATTAGCTGCTCCCACCACACATGATGGTGAGCTTTGTGAGGGCAAGGATCCATGACTGTCTTGTTCATCAACATGCTTACGATGCCCAGTAGCATGTATAGCAGTGCTTGGTAAATACTTATTAAATGATTGTTTAATGAAAACTGAATTAACTAGTTTTTCTGTTCAGTGCATCTGGAACCATCCATCTACCAATAAACTACCTAATATGAAAATGCTCTATCTATTTTTTATGAAAGAAACTGAAAAGAGACAACTGGATCTGGTCCCATGACCTAGTGATTAAAGGAGCCGTATCCCACATGGCCAACCACACAGGTCAAATCTCTGACCTGGCCACTTGAGAAACATGCATGCGTTATGTGAGGGCACGCCCCAAATTCTCACAGAATGCAGAAATGGGAGATAAGACATTGCAGCTGGAAGATAAGAGATTGCAGCATGATCACAGCCCATGAAGGGCTGCTTTCTCTCTGTCTCCGTGTGTCTCTCTCTTCCTCTCTCTAGTGACAGCAAACATGAATTAAAAAAAGAGTAACTCTTTCTGGCGGCAAGTAGACAACTGATTATAATATATGAATGGTAATGTCTAATGGTGTGAGCTTTTTTTTTAAAGTTTATTTCTTCCACAACCAAGAGAGAAAGAGAGAGGTTGGGGTGCACTCCCAACAAGGTTTTGATGCCACAATCTACTCCCAGCCAGCCCAGTCCATGGGTAAACACATGTGCCTAGTGAACACAGGAGATCTCCAGGAAAGAATGTAGTACCTTCCCAGGTGGCTTCTTGCCTTAGGGCCCTCTTTGAAAGTACAGGTATTCTGTTTTCACATGCACCTGGAAAGTCTGAGAAAAAGACTGGTTGAAACACATTCCAAATGCCCATCCTTTGGACTTTCAATCAGAAATGTGCCTCCTACCAGAGCAACAAGCTCCATGAGGAACTCTAGTATCACCTTTCTTCTTTCTCTCCTTCTTCTTGTTATCTGCCTTCTTCTTCCTGGGATGCCCTTCCAAACAAACTCTTCGCACATGGTTTTTGTGTCAAATTCTTGCTTGAGTAACCAAATAAAAAGGGTTATCACAGACTCAAAACTAGACCCCCTCAAATTTGGCAGGCTCTGAATCCTGATAGGTCTCATCTCGCCCCTATCTCACATGTATCTTCCTAAGGTATCCGGTACTTACCTAATCTCCTGGTCCAATTAGCATCTCAGGAATACACAGAGGCCTAACAAGATATCTGCAACACTTCCTAACAATCAGAGTTCTTGTAGGACTAAGTCATCACAGAGAGCCCAAAAGTTTCCCAACTCCAGAGAAGTGTACTGCAGTGAGTGTGTACTGCAGTCATTATCACAAAGGAACCAAGTGATTTTTTTTTTTGCTTTAACAATGGAGTATTTGCCAACTCAGTAACCACAGAATAAGTATGAGAGCTTGTTATATATGCGAGCTAAAAAAAAAAAATACCATATCTGGTACAGTGACTATTATTGGAGCTACTACATGATTAAGTTTACAGTGGTCTACCAATATACAAGGGAGTCTTCAAAAAGTTGACAGAAAGTGAAATATGAAAATAACTGTGTGTATTTCACTTTTTTTTAATCTGCCAGAGGTTTCATGTACTTACCATAGAGAGAGACACAGAGAGAGAGAGAGGAGAAGGAGAACACATTCCCCACAGGGGCGTAATCACACCACAGTCCCTTCTCTATTTCTCTACTCTTTAAGGATTCTGGGCACACATGTACATACACCTAGCATGACTTTTCAGTCGCTAGGTCCAGGACTGCAGCTTCATAGTCAGACAGATGGGATCTAGCTTCCTTAACCACCAGGCCATGGAGCCAGTCCACTTTCAAATTTTTTTTACACAAAAATAAACTCTTATTTTTATTCCCATTATTCACAAATGTTTTGAGGTATCACACATCACATAAATCTCATTTCTAAAGAATTCAAACCAATTAATGAAATAGACATAAGGTGAAGGTCATCATGCCTACAATTTTTTTTTTTTTGAGAGAGATTTTTGCTATAGGGCATGTGAGCTCATTGGAGAGGCAGAGAGACAGAAAGCGAGAAATAACTCCCCTCTGGGGGAGGGGGAGGGGTTGGTGGGAAGGGGATGCCCATTATGCAATCCCTTTTCTTCCAGTCCCCTCTGGGGATTTTGGGAATACATGCACACATGCCTGGCAAGCAGGGTCCTGGACTTGAACCACAGTGGGCCACATGGAGCCCAGCACTTTAACCACCATGGCACCTGCTGGTCCAACCACGCCTACATTTTTAAAGACTTTGCTGGTGGTGCAATCTCTAATATCCATCCTGAATGAAATAAGTTTCTGATTTCCTTACTTGGACCAGGGGAAACATTTTCAGGCCCTTACACTTGGCTCTCCCTCCAATAATAACTCTTATCACAGATCAGAAAATGGGTGATCTTAAGTGTATGAATAACGATCATGCCCTCAGGGAATCTACAAACTCAAGTACACATCTCAAGACAGATGATGGCTAGAACTCCTTTTATCACCTAGCCTACATTCTGAATCCTTGCTACAAGTGTCAGCCTAGTCCCTGTGTCAAACAGCCCTTGAAAAATCTGGTAAACAGCCTCAAGTCTTTGGGGATATGTACTGGAGAACACCCACTGAAACATTTTTGCAGTGGCATTACAGGGTTCTCGTTCTTAGGAACACCATGGGTAGGAGTCTGCATGCCAACAAAGCCTTGGCTTTGCTGCTATCTGTGGTAATTTCATCCACCTTGTTTCTGTTGGCTAAAGGCTGCCACTGGGCTTCTGCCGTTTTGGAAGTCTATAGTCCTTGTCATTCCTATTGATTTTAGGGAGCTATAATAGTTCCTTAGAAGCATTTCTAATGTTTCATATTCATCCTCAATCCATCACAAGCTTTAGTAATTGTGATGTCATAGCTCACCAAAGAATATCCCCATCCTACTTGTTACCGTAGAATCCTTATTGCATCTGACTAGTGAGTAACCCAATTCCAGAGTTCTGAGAAGCTACATGCTCGACTTTTTTCTTACACCAACTTCTTAGCTTATTTTCCTCCAAAAGGACAATTTAAAACAACTCCTTGTATGTGAGAAGGCTATTTTGGAGGTGATCCTATTGAAATACAATGAAGAAATGAAAAAGAGGATATAAAAGCTGTTATACAAATGTGTTACTAAAGTTGCTACTGTGGGCAATCAGAACTCAATTTCACTAGACCTCTTTAGGAGCACAGAGAATGGCCTACAACAGTGCCTTATTCAAGGGTAAGAACCAAGAGCATTTATCCCCTGGCTACTGCTGTCCCTTGGATGAAGGGTTCTAGATGTGCTAACTTACCAAGGCTTCGAAGTTGTGCATGGCATGAGCTGAGAAAGCTACTTCTGGCGTCTCTGCAAAGTCAGAAGAACCTCAGAGCAGAAAGCAAAGAGCTCTGGTAAATGCAAGAGAAGAGAAGTTATCAGGGAGACATGTATGGAAGCATGTATGAAGCTGTCAATCAAGTCAGAAATCAGAGCTGATGCTCGGAATAAGTGACGAGGGACACCAAAACTTCTAACACAACAGGATTACTGATTTCTTAAGAAACTGAAAACTGGGACAAGCAGTTGGCATAATGGCTATGTTGCTGGACTCCCATGTAGTTGACCACAGTTTGAGTCCCAGGCCCAGTGGCTTGAACTCACGCCGGGCACATGTACATGCATCCCCAGGACCCCAAGAAAAGAATGGAGGAGAAGGGATCGCGGCATGGCCATCACCCCTGGGGGGCGTGATTTCTCACTTTATGTCTCTCTGTTTCTGTCTTCCTGGTGAGCACACGCACCCTATAGCAAAAATCTCTCACAAAAAAAAAAAAAAAAGAAAAAAGAAATTGAAAACTAATTCATATCTGCAGGCCTTTAATGTTGTTTACCATATGGTCATCACAGGGAGTAAATGGGAAGTACTGTAACAGAGTCAAAATTTATTAAACACCTACAATACAGTAAGCACTTCTGTTGTACACTTCACATTTAATATGTAAAAACATTTTACTGAGATACAACTGGATGACATTTGAGTACTGACTGGAATACTGTGAGGAAGTGGGCCATGTGGCTATCCAAGAGGACTGTGTTCCATATAAAATAAACAGTAGCTACAAAGCACACTTCTTGGTGTACCTGGAGAGGGTTAGATGGGGTCTGAAGTATAGGCGGGACATGACCCATGAAGAACAAGTTCAGTCTTACTAGCCTTGGAAGGATTTTAAACTTTAATCTGAGTGTAATAGTATACCATTAAAGGGTTCTGAGTAGAGGTGTGGCGTATTCTGCCACAGGTTCTAAAAGGATCATTGTAGCGCTGAATAAAACTAGGCTGTAGAGAAATAAAAGGGAATTAGAATGCTTCGCTCAAAAACTATCTAGGCATGAATGGATGGCACCTATGACTCCTCTTTTACCAGAAGTTGTTTTATAGTGCTATTTATCTTCTCATGGCTATCCCATCACTTCTTGAAGGTAGGAAACTCAAAAGTGTAATTTATGGGGTTTATATCCTATACATACACTCAATAAGGTACTTGATAAATAACTGTTGGATAAATGGCTATACTAGTATTAAATCCACTTCAGTGACAGCATGGTTTTGTTGAAAGGCTTTGTCATGTATTATCTCTTTAGGAAATTTAAGTTCCTAAGCCTTCATGTCAAAAATGGTAACGCTGGTGAAATAAAATGGGTATTAATGAAAGTGCTTAATCAGACTCTTTCTCGTCATCATTTAATAGGCTGACAGCATGGTTTTGTTGAAAGGCTTTGTCATGTATTATCTCTTTAGGAAATTTAAGTTCCTAAGCCTTCATGTCAAAAATGGTAACGCTGGTGAAATAAAATGGGTATTAATGAACATGCTTAAATCAGACTCTTTCTCGCCATCACTTAATAGGCAATCTCTACTTTCCATCAATAGAAACTCTTCACTTCCAATACAAGACACCAATGGCCCTTTTCTACATAATACCTGTGAAATTTCAAGTTGTACATAACTGGATCCTAATGTATATATCAATCCAATTCCTCCCTTTCTTAGTATCAAAGCATGTGTTCAGAGTACTCATCTTCCTTTTACAAATCTTTTCTCACACATCATTCTTTAGGTGTTATTTAAAAGCAATTTAACAGGGGCCAGCAAGTGGCATGGTGGTTAAGGGTGCTGGTCTCCCATGTGGCTAACTGCAGTTTGAATCCCAAACCTGGCTGCTTGCTTCCTCACTTTCCCTA